GTTCTTTTGATATAAAACTCTTGGAAATGCAAGCTGTTGTAAACTGACAGAAAGCAGGTCAGTGGTTGCTGGGAGGGAGGGACTACAAAGAGCCTAAGAACACTCTGGGTGATGATTATGTCAAGTATTTCAATTGCAGCAATGGTTTCATGGGTATATACATATGTCAAAAACTTATAAATTATACAAGTTAAATATGTGTAATTTATTAAGTATCATTTAAGCACAAAAAAAGCTGTGAGAGAATAAAAAAGAGCATAAAAGAGTTCACATTCAGGACGCCTGGGTGGCTCAGAAGGTTAAGCGTCTGCCTTCAGTTCAGGTCATGATCCCAGGGTCCTGGGATCGAGGCCCATGTTGGGCTCCTTGCTCGGTGGGAAGCCTGCTTTTCTCCCTCTGCCTGCAGCTCCCCCTGCTTGTGCTCTCTCTCTCTCAAATAAATAAAATATTAAAAAAAAGAGTTCACACTGGCTAATCTGTGACTAATTATCAAAATAAATATGACGGTAACTTCTGGCCCATGGGATAAGGAATTCGTAAGCTCATACTGAACTGATATAACTAAATAAATAAGAAGGGAATGTTCTACCTTATACCAGATATCAACTAACAAATGTAGAAGAAATGATGGAATAGAAAATCGTAATTTGCAAGTATCCTAGTAACAAATGATTCAGGTAAGAACTATCAATAGGTGATAAAACTAGTGAGTGACAGGTTAATGACAAACCAGACATTTAGAATCTCATAGTACTTCTTCAGAAGATACTTATTAATGGCAAACACCAAGTGAGTCAAGTGACCAAAGCAAGCATCATCAGGAATGGGACAAATAGATACCATGTGCTTCCTGATACACAGCCCTGAGGACCCAACATCATTTCCATGGTGTTCCTGTCAAAAATGAGAAACCTCAGACAAACCCTAATTGAAAGACATTCTGAAAACAAATGCCCTGAAAAATAAAATGTTTTTAAAATTCAAAAGTTTTCAAAAATGTAGAAGAAAAAGGCACGACAAGTATGCCATACGTGATGTAGCACGTAATGGGGTCTTTGCCGTTTCTGGGACGGCTCTAACATTCAGGCTGACAGTCTGTGCTTACTTAACTGCTGGTTTCTAAGCTCCATAGCGAGGGTCACCAATCTGAAATGTGTCTGTGCCCAACCAAGGGATACAGGAAGCTTGCGTTTACCTTACGGTCTGCTTCATGCATCCTTTTTGGTATTCAAACCAGGAAATGTAAATCAGTCCAGCAATTAAATGATCACTGCTAGGATAGAGAATAAAGGAGATTTTGGATTACAGAACTGAAGGTAAGATTCTGGTGAGTTATTAGGTACAATACAGGTCACTAACTAACATGACCATGGTATCTTTCCCACTATCACCTATAATTCTGCAAAATATCTTTTCAAATTAGTGATAACATTCATGATAGCAATAATTTTACCATTAGAGGCTAAATATTTTAATTTTTTTTTAAGTAGGTTCCACGTCCAGCATGGAGCCCAACACAGGGCTCAAACTCACATCCCTGAAATCAAGACCTGAGCTGACACTGAGAGTCAGACACTCAAATGACTGAGCCACCCAGGTGCCCTAAGGCCAGATTTTTTTTTTTAATTTTTTTTTAAAGATTTTATTTATTTGCGAGAGAGAGAATGAGAGACAGAGAGCACGAGAGGGGGAGGGTCAGAAGGAGAAGCAGACCCCCCAGCTGAGCAGGGAGCCCGACGCGGGACTCGATCCCGGGACTCCAGGATCATGACCTGAGCCGAAGGCAGTCGCTTAACCAACTGAGCCACCTAGGCGCCCCGAGGCCAGATATTTTTAAAGTACTGTTTATATTTTTATGATTTTGTTTCCCAACTTAGAAATGCCCACCTGCCTACTGTGTGTTTGCTTAAGTGGTTCTGTTTACTGTGAAGAAGTTGACATTGATGCCGTACCACCCTTGCCAAAGGAATCAGCCTATCTTTATGCACGATTCAACAAAATTAAAAAGCTGACTGCGAAAGATTTTGCAGATATACGTAAGTTAATTTTAAATAAAATAATTCATATGAACTCATGTTAGTATTAACCTCATTATAAACACAAGTTTCTAGGCACTTGGGCCTCTCACATCTAGGGTAGTCACTGCTGGAGTATTTAAGTATCCACATACTTCACCAAAATCCGCTGGTTTGTTGGTGAATCTCCTTTCCATTCAAATGCCGCATGTCATCTTTCTTTACTGGTGACTTCAGTGTCTATGTTGACGGCCCATCTAACACATGGGCACCTACGCCTTCTCAACTTCAGGACTTTGAGACCTGTCTGCCTCAGCCAGTCAGGAGTGCCAGTATAATCGAAGCGCTTCTCTAACCTCAGTGCTTTCCTCACAATGCTACCTTCACTTTAAAAGCACAGACTCTTTTCCTTACTTTAACTCAAGGTTCTTAAACCTGGCTATGTACTAAAAACAAAAATACCGATACCAGGCCCTACTCTCCAGAGCTTTCAATTTAGGTCTTGGGAGAGGCCCACGTGTCGTCATGAAACACCACCAAACTTCTCATATGATTATCACGTGGAACCAGCGGGTTTCACTCCTTGCTGGGATGCGGGCCGCCAGGGCCCTGCCGTGAGCACACCACACTCCCCGACTCCTGCATCGCCAAGTCCCCCAGTCCTGGATCACAAGCCCTCATGAGTTCTCTAGCCTGCTATGTTGTTGAGTGCTTCTGAAGAAAATCACACCCAGAAATGCACACTGGCCCCATTACACATTTATGAGACTCGCCGTAAGAGTATTCACGCTGCAACTGGTCGGGGTACAGTTGTGCCTCCCAGTTGTGGATCCACACTTTCAAACTCACCTACCCGGTGGAATTTATTTGTGACCCAAAGTCACTACATGTTGCCCTTCACAGTCATCTGCAGACAAGTGCACAGTGGGAACACATTGGGGTTACCTAACCAAGGTCGAACAAGGTGACCCCTGCCATTCTGTGTCAACTCTCACATCCTAAGGGTCCTGCTCCGTCTTAGTGCCACACCTTCCCCACTCCTGTGCTCCCCAAGTGCAGTGCTCAAGTGCCTCACGGGAAAGACACTGTGTGAGGGAATCTTCACTCCAGTGTGAGCTGCAGTGCTCATGGCCGTGAGTTCGATGTTAATGTACCCACGACATATAAACTAACTACAATGCTTTGAAACAGAAACACTGATAGAATTTTGTACTAATTGGTTGATGTAAATGTAAATGTGTGACCAGAGGCTCACAGGAGCCTAACCCTGTATATTCCCTGGAAGCAATGATCCATACTCATTAACTCAGTGTTTGCAGGGATTAAGTCAAATAATGAATGAGAAGTGACTCCGTTTCCTCATCATCCCAGACATATAAAAGTGAAACAAATGAACTGAATGTCTCTCTCCGTCTGCATCACCTTAACCAATTAGGGAACATTCCTGTTTGTTGTTGTTAAGCTATAAGGCAGACAGATAAAGATAACATACCTACGATCACAATGCAACATGCTGGGAAAAAGTCCAAAACATACCTACATGATTCTTTTCAACCAAATATGGTGCTTACTTCCCCATGATCTGCAACCAGAATTTGTTTCAAACTGCCTCAGCATCCTGAGAATTCAAACACAGAAGTATAGAAGGACTCTATGAACTTTAAGTTCCCTTCCAACCCTGAGATTCCAGGACTCAAGTGAGGAAAGCCATCAGTGTGAGGCGCAGGGCAGATGCTCACCATGCATTCAACAAAATTTACTGATCTACTAATTACAGACACTCTATTAGATACTAAAAATAAAAGGTGTGTGAATGACCCGTTAAACCAATGCTTTTCTTCAGTCCACACAAATGAGACTTTATATTTTTTGTATATTTTCTGTATATTTTTCCTTCAAGCTAACTTAAGAAGACTTGATTTTACGGGAAATCTGATTGAAGATATAGAAGATGGTACTTTTTCAAAACTTTCTCTCTTAGAAGAACTTACACTAGCTGAAAATCAACTATTGAAACTTCCAGTTCTTCCTCCCAAGCTCACTTTATTTAATGCAAAATACAACAAAATCAAGAGTAGAGGAATCAAAGCAAATACATTCAAAGTAAGTATTTTATACTATGACCAAACACAGTATCAGTTTTATACAACCAATGATAATATGAGAAAAGAGAAACTCTGTTCTAAAATTTTGTTTTATATTTTTAAATGATTTTAACTTTATAAGTGAAGACATTATTTCCATAATAAGTAGTCCTGGTATTGGGCTTATTCAGTCTAGCTTACCTGCACCTCCCTTTATGTAACTTGACCTTGTTTCATGGGACTACGTTGTGTCCCAGCTTTTTCACTTGTTCACACAGTAAATATTTATTTATATAGACGTGGTTTGTACCCTCATGGCACCAGGATACTATAAAACCTCAAAATGCGAGTTTTCCTGTGTTTCTTTTCCTTACAATATTAGTAATTTACACATGCCAGAAAATTATCGTTCCTAAAGTAAAATTCAGTAAAAGTTTAATTTTACTTTTACTACTTAAAAGTATTAGCCCATGAAATTCTGTAGGTAGACTTTCTTTTGAATTTCAGCTAGTACAAAATTCTATATGTACTAAACACTAAATACATTTCTTATTTAATAACTCAAGATATAGGTACAGGAAAAAGGGAAGGTGATCTACTCTGACTTAGGTAGCCAGGTTGTGTCCAAATGCACAGCCTAAGGAGAAATTACTGCCTCAGTCCAGTCCCGCACAGGTGGTAACTCGTTCCCTGTCCTGGAAGGAGCCCCAGATAAAAAGACGACTGTGTTACTACTGGCAGCAAAACTCATTCAAAGGGGAAGTTTGTGACTTCTTATGATAACATCTAATAGAAACACTATCAAATAGTATCATAAAGTTTATGATAATCACAAAAAGGTACAATTTATCCACAAATGAACAACCTGTCAGAAAATGTAAAAATATTCCATTTTTCTTTTTGTTTACACTCAAGCAGTTCTTTTTTTTTGAGAGAGAGAGAATGAGAGACAGAGAGCATGAGAGGGAGGAGGGTCAGAGGGAGAAGCAGACTCCCTGCCGAGCAGGGAGCCCGATGCGGGACTCGATCCCGGGACTCCAGGATCATGACCTGAGCCGAAGGCAGTCGCTTAACCAACTGAGCCACCCAGGCGCCCCTCAAGCAGTTCTTTTTAAACTGTAAGAGACATTATTCTAAAGGCACATCAGAGTTCCTCGGAAGTTAAGGGATTATTAGGGGACTTTTCAAAACAGGACTCACTTCATTTTTTTATTTTTTCAAGATTTTATTTTTTTATTTGACAGAGAGAGACACAGCAAGAGAGGGAACACAAGCAGGGGGAGTGGGAGAGGGAGAAGCAGGCTTCCCGCTGAGCAGGGAGCCCGATGTGGGGCTCGATCCCAGGACCCTGGGATCCTGACCTGAGCCAAAGGCAGACGCCTAACGACTGAGCCACCCAGGCGCCCAAAACAGGGCGCTTTAAAAACAACAAAAAACCCTTATAATTTGAAGCTATGTAATTCCAGCTGATAAGCTGTTGACCAACTGGCATAGTAAAGATCTGCCAGAGCCGATCAACACTTCACAAAAGGAGTGTCTGAATATTCTGAATTTTACACTTGCATTACATCTTGAAGTCACGTTATAAAAGGATACACAGCAATGGGCTGCTGAATGAAGAGTAATTCAACACAGACCCTTATGGGTAAAAGTCATATCTCACTAAGTAGTTAATAAATCGCTCTAGGAAATATCTTACTAACAAGCACATCGCTCAGGAGCACAGGCAAGTCGCATGTCACTGTGCTTTGCAGAGACCGTGTTTCTGCAAACTGAAGGTCTGCGCCAACCCTGTGTGGAGCGAGTCTGTCGGTGCCACTTTTCCAACAGTGTTTGCTCACTGCGTCTCTGCCGTGTTTTGCTAATTCCTGCAATAATTGAAACTTTTTCATTATTATTACATTTGCCATGGTGATCTGTCATTAGGGACTATAACTCACTGAAAGCTCAGATGATGGTTAGCTCTTAGCAATGAAGTATTTTTTAATTAGGGGACGTACACTGTCGTTGGACATACGCTACTGCACACTTCACAGACTGCAGTATAGTGTAAATGTAACTTTACAGGCTCTGGGAAACCAAGAAACTCACTGGATTCACTTTATTGCAATATTTGTTTTATTGTGGTGGTCTGGAACTGAACCCACATCATCTCCAAGATGTGCCTGCATTCATTTTGCTAGAAATTGGGGGAACTGAAATGAGAAGTTCTGAAGGTTCAAGAGAGGTTATGGCAGCACCAGGATCCAATTTCAATCCTGCATAGGGACTGACCTTATTAGCTGTTCACAAGACAAATCAAAGGGGCCCAGAAGCTGACATGAGGACTGAGGCCAGGCATGGCTGGATATTCAGTGGCCAGATAAGTGGAGAAAAATGTGGGGAGGCAAGAGGGAACTACTACCCTTCATAAAGGACCAAAATATACTACTTGTGAAACGAAAAAAACCCTCAAAACCAAATAACTACCAAACCAGCAATTAATAGTACCGATAGGTGTCTATAACAATACATGCACATGTATTCACGTACACATGCACGCACATGTATATGCACATATATGCATGCATGTGCATGTGTGTACACAGCTGGAATCCTGTGTAAGAAGTGTACTGACTCAATAACACTCAAGCCAAGTACCTTTTCCTTACAGAAATTGAACCACCTCTCCTTCCTCTACTTGGACCACAATGCCCTGGAATCTGTGCCTCTTAATTTACCAGAAAGTCTACGTGTAATTCATCTTCAGGTAGGATGGCTCCTTTCACAATATGTGGCTTTACGTTACAATTGGTCAGTCTTATGACTCATTAGGAAACTCATTTATTCACATGTAAATTTTGCCTATCAAAAGTGTAACTAGTCCAAGGCACTCACCCACCTGAAAGCCCCACCTGTCCAGAGAACCATGAAAGGATCAGCGACCTAGGTGTGAGGTCTGCTCTTAGAGTGGGGTTTGTCATCAGGTGTGAACTTATCATGGATTTGAAGGTAGGGCACCCTAAGACCTCTGCTTTGTGCTTCTTTCTCCAACAGCAGTAAACATTGGCTTTTGGTGACTTTCCAGCCGACTTTATTGTCCAATATCATCTTGAGGTAATAGGAGAGAGAGGAGGAATTAAAATAAACTAAAACTGGTCTCTCAGCATCACAAGAATTCCCATTTGTCCTTTTTACTTCTTTAAAGGAATATCTAAGGACACAGTACCCATTTTGAGTTGACACTCTAGAACAGGACAGTTTCTCCAGCTAGGATGATCTTATTCATGCTTAGAACTTTCTGCCACGTGGATATCACTCTGAATAATAAGAATGTGTTCTTCCAAAGTAATACTGTATACGTAAAAAGGGAGGGGCTGGGGGGAAACTCAGGCCGCACCGAGAGGGTTTTATTACTATGAGGATACACAGGATATTTTCAAAATCACTTTTTAGAAAAATACTCTGTGAAATCCCATTACATAGCATACAGAAGGCTAATTTCAAACTTCTGAACAATTTTTCCCTTCTGTTTTCCAGTTTAACAACATAACTTCAATCACAGATGATACATTCTGCAAGGCTAACGACAGCCGTTATATTCGGGACCGCATTGAAGAGATACGCTTGGAGGGCAACCCCATCGTCCTGGGAAAGCATCCCAACAGTTTTATCTGCTTGAAAAGATTGCCTGTAGGGTCATACTTTTAACCACTACCAATGCAGCATATAAACTAAAGTATACTCATGCATATAATCTGTCTCAACAATGTCTAAAGGAGCATAAATATTTAATACTAACTTTGTGTCCCACTACGAAGTAATTTTATGTTTTAAACAAAAATCTTACACATAACAAGTAAAAAGTAAAATTGAATCTAAAGTTCAAAACAAAGCAATGTGAAAATACTTAAACAGCATTACAAAATCCTTGTAGTTTATACCATAGTGCCATTTTAAAAGGTATGTTTTTATATAAATACCCAAATTTAAGAAGCAGCATTTCCATTACTAATGAAGTGGAAGGGTAAGTCCAAGAAACGTTCAACTGCTGTTCTTTCTTGGCCTTTACTGGATCCCTAAAGCATTTAAAGAAGATGTTCCAAAAACTTTGAAAAGCTAAGTATTTCCAGTGACCTCCCATTTTTCTTTTATGATTCATACATTATTCATTATGAAATAGGAACTGCTTTTTCCCTCTATTAAGGCAGCTATTATATTTTTACTTAGCCTGAGAAATAGGGAATCATCTCATATCTAGGCAAAACTTTCCAAAGAAAGCATAATTTTACTCTCTGATAAAGACCTAATAGAGTAATATTCAAAGTTTGCTTTGTAGTCACACAGTTAAAGGTTTCAGTAAAATAGTAAAAAAATCTTCCTTTTTCTAAATACTGACATTCCAAGTCTACCATAAAACATTTTAAGGAGCCAAGCAGACCAAAATCAGAATGCTCATAAAAAACAAAAAACAAAAAAAACTTGAATGTCCATCCCATCTCTCAAAAAATAACTATAAAGTTCCCCATTGTAAAGCCTTTCAAATATGACAGATACTGCAAAATATTTTCTTTTTACCACCACAGCAGTGAGAATCTCATTCATAAATCTGTTCAAATGTAAGACATGAAAACAGTGAATTTTGTGGTGTTACTGAACACCACCTTCCCCCCCGCCCCCCAACCTATATACATCACAGTCATGCAAACTGACTATACCTCCACAAGAAGGCTTCGGAGCCACATTTTCTAAAGACCCGGGATTAACTGATCATTTCGCAATGTGAATTCACCTACACTCTAACAGTGATGACTCATGATGGAACAACGCTGCCAGATTAAAGTTCCTAAAATAACCTTCCTCTTGCCCAAAACCCACTCAAAAGTCTTAGTCCCCACACTGCATCAGGATTACATCCAGAATTATCAGTGCTTTAGACACATGCGTCTGAACTGTGTATATAAAAATTTCCAGTGTTGTTTCCAACATAAATCATACATTAGAATCAAGTTGGTCTCCATATACCATTCCCAGAACAAATAGTTATTCATATTTTTAAGCATTTGCTTCTGTTTTTCCCTAAGTAGAATGAACTCCTGTTTTTCAATTTTTCCTCCATTTGTCAAGGTTGACCTGAAGATGAGACTTTTTCATTAAAACATCTATGATGTCTTTATTAACTCACTTGCTTATTTTATTGGTCTATTATCTATATTGGTCATCATTAACTATATACTGCTTTCTCATTATTTTGTGTGCATGCCTCATTTCTCTGTGACTGAAAGCTCACTGAACACATCCAATATTCCCTGTATATTTTCAGTGTGCCTAGCATAATAGTCGTGAACACATCTGAATTGAATATGCAATGCAAAGTACAAAATAAAATTCATTTAAACTGAGGGCTCTGTTTTATTTGGAAAAATAGAATCTTTATCACAATCTTGAAAAAAACAATGGAAATAAATTATAACTTTATCTGGAAAAATAAACTTGATAAAAGGGAGAGATAAGTGGTGGGACTGACACCAGGAAAAGCGGTCAGAGAAGACGTCTCTCACATTTCCAGATGCATCCCTATATTCTTTATCTAACTGAACTTAAAGAGAAAAAAAAACACCATAAAATAACTCAAATTTTAGAGAATTCAAAAGCCTGTGGTTTACATAAAATAATAATTAGGAAAGAGCACTCATAAAAGGTCTGTATTACAGAATTATCTTTCAAAGACAATTTCAGACTTCCAGATAAGAAGATATGAACAGGCGTAACTGAAAACCTTATATATACCCTTAAATCATAAATAAAAGAATGAGAGAAAGTAAAATTTTGCTGATCCCATTATCTTAAAGAAATAGTATTCATTATTGACACTGATAATTAAAGAAATTAAGGTTTAAAATTAAAACTGTTCTACCCTTACAAACATTCCTGAAAATAACGAAGCCATGCGCCAGTAGAGAGACGCCCTATGTCCGTGGGCTGTAAGACTTAACAGTTACTAGGTCAGCTCCACCCAAAGCAATACACAGACTCAACAGAGTCCCTATCCAAGGCCCAATCACACTTTTTGAAGATATAGAAAAAGCCATTCTAAAATTCATATGGAATCTCAAGGGACTTCAAATAGGCAAAATAAATTAGAAAAGAAGACTAAAATTGGAGAACTCACACTTCTCATTTCAAAAGTGAATTACAAAGCTACAGTAATCAAAAGTGTGGTACTGGCATAGATAGGAACATACGTAACAATGGAAGAGAACAGGGAACCTAGAAACAAACCTTTGCATAGATGGTCAAATGATTTTCAGCAAAGGTGCCAAGACCTAGGACAATCAATACCCACGTGCAAAAGAATGCAGATGGACCCTTTGTTTACAATGTATACAAAAGTTAAGGTGGATCAGACACCTAAACTTAACTATAAAACTCTTAGTGGAAAAAAAGAGGAAAATCTTTATGACACTGAATTTGACAATGATTTCTTGGATATGACATCAAAAAGCACAGACAACAACAACAAAAACCAGATAAACTGGATGTTGTCAAAGTTAAAAACTTTTGGGCATCAAAGGACACTATCAAACAAATGAAAAGACAAGCCAAAGAATGGGGGAAAATATTTGCCAATTATATATTTGATAAAAGATTAATATCTAGAATATATTTTTAAAAACTCCTATAACTCAACAACAAGAAAAACCCAATTCAAAAATGGGCAAAGGATTTAAATAGACATCTCTGCAAAGAAGATAATATGAATGGCCAAAATGCACAAGAAAAGTTGCTCAACATCACTAATCATTTGGTAAATGCAAATCAAAACCACAATGAAAATACTACTTCACACCCATTAGGTTGGCTATGATCCAAAAAAACAAAACAAAGAAAAGATCCCAAACATTGGCAAGTATGTGGAGAAACTGGGAGCTTTGTGCATTGCTGTTGCGAATGTAAAATGGTGTAGCCACTGTGGAAGAGAATATGGGGTGCTTCACAAAACTGGACAGAATTACCATATGATCCAATGATTCCATTTACAGGTATATATGTACTGGAACTGAAAGCACGAACTTGAACAGGTATTTGTACACCAATGTTCATAGAAGCATTGTTCACAACAGTCAAAAGATAGAAACAAAGCAAGTATCCATCAACAGATGAATGGATAAACAAAATGAGGGCTATCTATTCAATGAAATATTATGCAGCCTTAAAAAGGAAGGAAATTCTTCACTGCGCTACACCTTGAGGATATTATGCTAAGTGAAATAAATCAAACAAAAAAGTATTAGATTTTATGAATCTGCTTTAATGAGATACCTAGAAATTCATAGAAACAGGAAATAAAATGGTGATTCCCAAGAGCTGGGGGAGGAAGGAATGACAAGTTAGTATTTCACGGGAACAGCTGCAGTCTGAGATGTAAAAAATTTCTTGAGATAACTATCGGTGATGGCTGCATAAAAGCATGACTGTGTCTTTCCATTCTAGTGACCTGATCACCAACAAAGATCAGCTCACAGAAGTACTCGATCCTCTACAGGATAAACACACCAGTTACACTTCTATGCCGCCTTGAAGGCACCGAGAGGCCAATCAACTTTGGAAACGGGCCTATTCAAACGTATCGGTAAACCGTCACGTTAGGTGGTCCTCACCACAACAGTCAGCAATACTCCCAACCACGAATGTGTTTTACCACTTGTGAAGCAAAGCTTCTCACTGTTCTGGTGCAAGAGTAAATAAACAACGGTAAGAGAGGGGCGCCTGGGCAGCTCAGTCTTTAAGCGTCTGCCTTCGGCTCGGGTCATGATCCCAGGGTCCTGGTTTCGAGCCCCATGTCGGGCTCTCTGCTCCGCAGGAAGCCTGCTTCTCCCTCTCCCACTCCCCCTGCTTGTGTTCCCTCTCTCGCTATGTCTCTCTCTATCAAATAAATAAATAAAATCTTTTAAAAAAATAAAAGTATTGGGGCGCCTGGGTGGCTCAGCCGTTAAGCGTCTGCCTTCGGCTCAGATCATGATCCCAGGGTCCTGGTTTCGAGCCCCACGTCGGGCTCTCTGCTCCGCAGGAAGCCTGCTTCTCCCTCTCCCACTCCCCCTGCTTGTGATCCTGCTCTCACTGTGTCTCTCTCTGTCAAATAAATAAATAAAATCTTTCAAAAAAAAAACAACAGTAAGAGAACTCCTCCAGGGACCACAGTACAGATACGGGAATGTTTCATCCTAAGGAAAATTCTTTGTCTGACAGATTTAATAATTCAACCAAACAGAAGATAAACAATAACAGTAGTAGTGATAACAGTAATAATAATAACAACAAAAATTCCAAATAAACAAGAGTCATAAAAACAACAGTCATGACCTGGGGTTAGCCTTTTGAGATATTATATTGACTCAGAACTGGATTTCGTGTGGACCACTACTGTCAATATTGCTGCCATCCAACTAAGAAGAACGTGGGGGATGGTAATGCAGCCCAACGTAATTCTAGTTATGCCAGAAAACAGAATAAAAAGAAGTCCCTGAATGTACCCGTATCAGACTTAAGAGGCATTACTATACCAGAATCAGGCTTCAATACTTAAACCTGAAATATATGACAATTAAGAAGCTCAAAATACAGAGTATGACTACGAAGTAAAAATTACAGTGCTAGGTGATAAGCCCACTATGATTACACTCATTTTAGCATTTGTATTTTACTTTAAGTACCCCGGACAGATTAATTTTTCAAAATGTGTATAAACTAAGTAAGAATTTAACTATACCTCTTTCAAGATATCCCATAATACAAATGACTCACTGGTTTGTACAAAAGCATTCCTCCTCATTTATTCCAAGTAACTGCAAATTCCAGAAGCCAATAAAAATATTTTCTGTTGTTTGAAAACTTTAAGGGAAGAATGTTATGTTAAATCCCCAAATTAATACCAGCTTCACTTGTCAGATATGTTTAAATTTAAACCAGCTTAACTTTTTGAATACGTTTAAATTAAAAAACTTTAGACCCTACCTTGAAGTGTTCAAATGTGCGCTTTCGATATTCACACCACTCCACAAAAAAGTGTAGGCTTCGGAAAAACATCAACAGATCTCTTCTTTCTTCTGCTCTGTATTAATAGAATATTCTATGATTCATAAATGTCATAAATAAGAGCCCCAACCTGGCATTTTTAATCTTATTATTTTTTATATACCTTAAAGCTAAAAAAAAGTACTTGATATATTTCTATATTTTGAACTCTGAGTATGTGCCCCTGTGTGATTACTAATGCTAATTTCTCAGCCTGAAATGCCCTTTGCCCCATATTAAAATGTTTAAATACTACTCACCTTTCAAGATATCACTCAAATACCAAACTGTCCTTGCATTTGTATTTGATGACCATGGTATGTAATAAAGACTATTTCTGGTCTTTATCCCCAGTTTCTGGCACAGAGCTTCAAAAACCCCTGGAATTCCTGAGTGACCAGTGTGCATCTCTAATGCTAATGAGGTGACACACGGTGGCCACTAGATAGCCTCAGGATGGAGCCTGGTCACCACAAAGACTAACCACATGCATAACCGGTTGGATCTTTGGGCCACCAGACCTCCAGGGAGGACAGGGGAGCTGGAGAAATTTCATCATATGGCCATTCAACCCATCAACTACACCGTGGTAATGAAACCCCAGTAAAAGCTCTGGACAATAAAGCTCAGTGGAGCTTCCTGGATGGTGAACACGCTGATGTGCCAGGAGGTGGATATGCTCAGATCCCACAGGGAGAGGGCACACAACCTCTAGGTTTTTCCTCCTCAAAGCCACTCACCCTGCCTCAGATCTTGACTTATGCATTGCCTTCATCTGCCTGTTCCTGGGTACAGCTTTTATAATAAAACAGTAATCTTTACTATAACACTCTCAGTGAGTTTTCTCAGTCCTTCTAACAAATTATCAAATCTGAGTGGGTTGTGGGGAGTGCAGATGGCCCCTGATACTTGTGGATGGCATCTGAAGTGGGCAGTCTTGTTCAGGACTTTGCCCCCTTAACCTGTAGGTCTGCACTAAATCTGAGCAGTGTCAGGAGTGAATTGAATTACAGGACATTCCAGTTGGTGTCAGAGATTATTCTCTGAACAGTGACCTCACCACCACACCACACGACCTATTCCAAAATGGCTAGAAATAATTTCATTCCTATTGCCTATGAGCTCCCATGGAATTTATCTTAATGCTCTTAATACTATACCTATTGTTATACTGACACCTTGTAGGCAAGATGAGTGTATTCACTTAACCGTGCTTGCAGTAAATGACTGTGGGAGTCGAGTTCCCATACTACTCAAGATAGAGTAAGCACACTCCACCCGAACATTCCAATTACAAGTTAGAACCACGGACATAACACACAAAGCAAATATTGGAAGACTCTGAAATGTGGACAAAAGAAGGCAGGAATGGGTAAGAAACTTCAGGAATTGGGGCACCTGGGTGGCTCAGTTGTTAAGCGTCTGCCTTCGGCTCAGGTCATGATCCCACGGTCCTGGGATCGAGCCCCGCATCGGGCTCCCTGCTCTGCAGAGAGCCTGCTTCTCCCTCTCCCACTCCCCCTGCTTGTGTTCCCTCTCTCGCTGTATCTCTCTGTGTCAAATAAATAAATAAAATCTAAAAAAAAAAAAAAGAAAAGAAACTTCAGGAATTAAGGGAGGATTGGGTGATGAGTTCCTCGGGGTTTATTTTTGTCTCCTCTATATTCCAATCTGAATGCTACAGCAGACTGCAACTCAGAACTGCCAAAGGTTGGAGTAAAAAAGAAAACAGAAAAAAAGGTCCCAAGGAAAGATTATTCCTTCTAACCAGCAGGGGCTGTATAAAAAGAAAGAGGAAGTAAACTGCTCTCGGTGATGAATTTTTCGACTTGACACCAAAAGCTAAGACAACAAAACCAAAAATAAGGGATCACATCAAACTAAAAAGCTTCTGCACAACAAAGGAAACCATCCACAAAATGAAAAGGCAGCCTACTGAATGGGAAAAAATATTTGCAAATCATTTATCTGGTAAGGCATAGATAACAAAAATATATAAAGAACTCATAAAACTCAAAGTGCTCCTCACAATCCCAGTGCAGCTCTTTCTGCCCGTGGGTCCTGTCCCCGTGCTTTAAATCACCTTTTCGCACCAAAAAAAAACAAAAAACAAAACAAAACTCGTAAAACTCGGGGCGCCTGGGTGGCTCAGTCGTTATGTGTCTGCCTTCGGCTCAGGTCATGATCCCAGGGTCCTGGGATGGAGCCCCGTGTCTGACTCCCTGCTCGGCGGGAAGCCTGCTTCTCCCACTCCCGCTCCTGCTCCCCCTGCTTGTGTTCCCTCTCTTGCTGTGTCTCTGTCAAAAAATTAAAATCTTAAAAAAAAAAAAAAAAAAAAGAACTCCTAAAATTCAATAGCAAAAAACTATGATCAGATTAAAAAATGGGCAGAGGACCTGAACAGACATTTTTCCAGAGAAAACACATGAATGGCCAGCAGACACATGGAAAGAGACATTTGGAGAAATGGAAATCAAAACCACAACGAGAGATCACCTTGCACCCGTCAGAATGGCTAGTATCAGAAAGACAAGAAACAACAAGTGTTGGCGAGGATGTGGAGAAAAGGAAATAAATAAATAAAATCCAAAAAAAAAAATGCACTGCTGGTGGGAATTCAAACTGGTGCAATTTATAGGAATATAAATTGGTGTACTGTGGAAGAGTATGGAGGTTCCTCAAAAAATTAAAACTAGAACTACCACGTGACCCAGCAATTCTACTTCTGGATATCTATCCAAAAGAAATGAAAACCCTAACTCAAAAAGATATCTGCACTTCCATGTTCACTGCAGCATTATTTACAATAGCCAAGATATGGAAACAACATAACTGCCCATCAATGAATAAAGAAATTCTGGTGTATAGGGCACCTGGGTGGCTCAGATGGTTAAGCATCTGCCTTCGGCTCAGGTCAAGATCCCGAAGTCTTGGGATCGAGTCCCGCATCGAGTTCCCTGCTTGGCGGGGAGCCTGCTTCTCCCTCTGCCTCTGCCTCTCTCTCTCCCCCTGTCTCTCATGAATAAATAAATAAAATCTTAAAAAAAAAAAAAAAAGAAAAGAAATTCGGGTGTATAAACACAATGGAATATTATTCAGCCATAAATAAGAAGGCAATCCTGTCATTTGCAACAGCATGATGGGACCTTAAGGACATTCTGCTAAGTGAAATAAATCACACAGAAAAAGACAAATACCATATGACTTCACTTATATGTGAGATCTGAAAGAAACAAACTCACAGATTCAGAGAATAGATTGGTGGTTGTCAGAGGGAGGGGTGGGGAGTGACAAAATGAGTGAAGGTGGTCAAAAGGTACAAACTTCCAGTTATAAAATGAGTATTGGGGATGTAATATACAGCATGGTGACTACAGTTAATATTACCATATTATATATTTGGAAGTTGCTAAGAGTATAAACGTTAAAAGTTCTCTTCAGAAAAAAAATATTGTAAATACACGTGGTGATAGATGTTAATCAGACTTCTTGTAATGATCATTTCACAATATATACATATATTGAATCATTACACTGTACACCTAAAATGAAGATAGTGTTTTATGTCAACTAAATCTGTTTTAAAAAATTCAAGGTTCAAAATCATGCAATTTAATCCACTGAACATAATGTTTGTAGGTTTCCTCTGTGATTTATTACTTAACGGCAAACGTTTTCAAACATTAGGGAATAAAACTTTTGCAGTGGTTGAAAATGGAGGCATGCAGAACAGAACCCTAACCCGAGAGGAACTGTGCCCTCTTCCTCCCAACCAGGCAACTGGCACTGCTGATAGTAGGCAAAGCCAGCACAGAAGCAGGACCCTCAGCTCCTGAGGGAATGCTGCTGCTGGGAGATGATGGGAGGAGCTTTGTCAGCTAGCCCCACCGACATGGAGCAAAACCAAGAAACAAGAGGAGGCGCCATTCCCACTCCCCACCAGAATGGCTCCTGCAAACACAGGAAGATGCTTTGTCAACTTTCTCCACCCTACACCATGTGATCCCAAGCACAGAGTCGGGAGAATCAGGGAGAAGGAACCTAGAGAAAGGGATTGTTTACATTTATGTATGAAGTCCTGAGATCACTACCTAGTGGCCCTCACACAAAACTGACCAGAAACAATAAAGCAAAAGTATCAAGACCCGAATTATGGTGTAGAATACTGCTCAGAATTCAGAGTGGCCTCAGGGCAGTGTAAGAGAGGGGCAAACCAAAATATAGTCCATAAACTCTAATAGCCCTTAAACTATAGCCCATAAAAGTGGGCCAGGATGTGCTTTTGAATAAAAGCATGTTGACAATGCAAAAACGGCCAAGTAGGGACTATGGGGACAGTCCTTCCTCAGAAACACCAAAAACTACCACATGCCTGTCAGAATCACACTTATAGGAAATTGGGAAGACAGTAAAATGTTTACAGCAACCCAGCAAACACATAAGCAGGAGAAGGGCCCTGAGCAGAGAAGGGACCTACTGTAGTGTTTCAGCTTTGCTACCATGTCCACCACCTGAGCATGGTGGGTCTTTAAGATCACATCCTGTTTCTCAGTGGAACATCATCCTGACCACAGCAGACTGGGTCTTGTTCCCAAAGAACTGTGTTTCTTTTGTGTTCCCAACTGAGTTCCGTTTGTTTTGATCTGTCCATAGGGTCCCTGAGGACTAATGGAAGGGGCCTATTTTCACATAACTCATAACTTTCCTGAACACATGACCATGCAGAGGACATTTCTCAAAGATACTGAGAGTCAAATGAATGAGCCAGTGCCAAATGGCACAAAATAACAATTAAGAGAAACAACAGACATGCTTAAAGCCAAGTGAAGAAAAGGTGCAGAGTAAGAATCTTTAGAACATAAGGAGTTTGAAAAGAGTCCACATAAGAAAGGGGAAAACCAGGTGAATGTACAGGGCAGTAAGTACGCTCAGAGAAGACTGAGAAGACCACACACTTTCACCTCTGGCTGATCTTTAGGCTAAAGGCAAGTAGGGCATGGAGGCAAAGGCAATGTGGAAAGGCCTTGCTAAGTGCGA